GCCTATCCGGACAACACAGACCATAGTTGCCAGACAAACACTTGTATGTGTATACATATGTGCATAGCTAGATGCTTATAGAAATAAAAAACATACATATGTGCAGGAAAATTTTCAAAGTCGACATTCTACGTCTATCTTCTAGATGCTTATAAAAATAACAAGAGGGAAAAAGAAACTGAAAACGGATTTTTCATTTACACACTTGTTCAATTATTAGCTGGTAAATTAATCAAATTTCTTCAATTCATTGATCGGTCAAATAAACCATTACTTAAATGGAAACAGCCCTTGTTGTTTTGCTTTTCATTGAGAGATGAGAAAAGCCAAGCGAGATAATAATTACCTTAGGGAAGCATTCAAAACCTCCACCTGTTACATTAAGTAAGGCAAGAGACAGAACTCTGTCCGGAACGATGGCGGCAAACTTGCAAGCTATCATAGCCCCTGTCTTGACAGCAAAAACTTGAGTGAACTCACAAAATATACTGATTCAAACACTAGCTACAATTTAGCTCCATCCTACTTCTACATTCCAACTTCTAAGTTCATCCAATCAGCTCTAAATACTACCCTCATTTAGGTTTACCATACATAAACTGAACAGATTTGATCAATGGATAACTTCACAAATCCTTTTGCAGGTAAGCCTACTCAACAACTGGAAATTGAAACTAAAGAATGCAAAACAAGCTTACCCATTGAATGCCCACAGACGTGAGCTCTTTTCCAGCCCAAATGATCCAATAAGGCAATTGCATCTGTTGCCATTATCTTTGTCCTGCACCCACCAATTGCCAATACAATTTCAATATATATTAAAACATTCAAGTCTTATGCTTAACGTGACTTCAAATTTTAAATTCCTGTTGTACAATAGAAGAAAAAATACTGTACTGAAGTTAGAATCTAACTAGGCAGACAAAAAGCCTTAAAACGTACAGATACAACACTAGAAACTTAATTTTACACGGAACTAACAAGGAATAGTAAGAACTACACGTTAAAAATAAACAGAGATAGAGGTATGGTCAAAACTCACGTGTACTCAGATTTCTTGGTGGGAACGGAGCTCCGGCCCATTCCACGATTATCAAATGCACAGACTTCGATGCCACCAACGCCAGCGCCCCCACTCCCATTGTTGGCTCCATCTGAGCTGCGATCAAATTTCAGGATTTCTTCATCGTTGGGCTTGTCCGTTCCGGTGAGGCCTCTGACTTGCGGACCCCATGAATTGTGCGTTCCAGCCAACCCTGGACCATTAAATCACCAAAATATTTTCAGCGACAACTCCAATTGCCATTAAAATAAGGATTCCGAACAATAAATTTCAGACGTCTAAGTGATTAGAGACCTATTATTAGGAGCACTTTGATTGGACCGTGACCGTACGTTCTGTAGAAAAGTTTGACGCCATTGTTAAGCGCAGCATCGTCGCTGCCTTGTTCTCTACCAACCTCGCAGTACGGCATCTTTTAATTCTATATACGATCCTATGCACAATGAGTAGAGAGATACAGAGAAATTTCAGCGTCTATCACAATCGAATCACTGCAATTTGAAATTACAGATTGGAGATCGGAGAAGAAGAAGAAGAAGGAAAAGGAAAAATGAAAAGGTGCTCGGCGTGCTATTTGCTAGGATATATGAGGAGGGTCCGGTACACGTGGCGGATAAGCACTGGAAGTTTCCATGGAAAGTTCGTCTCCTATCTGGCTCGTATTGGGTCAAAGTCAAACAACTCAAAAGTTGGAACTCTACAGGATAATTGCTAAACGGCGCGAACTCGCACGTGCGAAAAATACAGTAGACATAAAATAAATTTCAAAAAATTATAATATTAATGCTTATAATTAATTTTATTATATAGTTCTATGGTAATATTATTTTTTATTTAATATATCAATAATTTTAAATTTTTAATTTAAATAACATAACATATCAAGTATGAGGTAAAATATTTTTTTTGTAATTAAATTAATATATTAATGGTAATTTATTTTGCATGCTTGGTTATTTTATTTGAAATTTATTAAATAGTGCATATCGTACCTAAGATATTTATAACATAAAATATTTATTAAATAGTGCATATCATGTTATTAATTATATATTATGATTATATTAAAATTGATTTATACATCATACATTTAGAATAACAATCTCATTTTGTCTTTAGTCATTTTCTTTTATCAATGTTGATCTTCAATTAAATTCTTCTTCAACTATAATATATAGTTGTATCACATAAACCTCCCACCATATACATGCTTCCCATTTGAGCTAAAAATATTGACTTATTATATATATCTTTATTCTTCTCTCTCTCTCTCTATATATATGTGTATCTATATTTATATGTTCACATAAGTATTATTTAGTCGATTAGGTAATCAGATAATATAGCGAGATCATTTTATTTTGTGAAGATGAATCAATTGCGTATTAATGAATATGAATTACATGATTTCATTGATGCTCCCAACTTAGATCAGTTCATCAACCTGGTTTGAGGAGAAAACGAAGAACATGTTGCCAGTAGCAGCATGGATGCTTGTTTTCTTGATCATTTACCAATAAGTTAAACTTTTTATTTTGATATTATTATCGATACGTTAGTGTCAAATTTGGATACAAGAGATGAAGACGATCATTATTATGTCATCGTTATTATTGGAATTGTTTATATAATCGTCATAAAAAAGTTAAAGTTGATGGATCAAAGGCTCTCATATCTAAGAGGATGGGGAGAGGGAGCATGAACGATAAGCGTTAGACATTGTTATTTTTATTACTAATGATATAGTAGTTGTGGTAAAAAAATTCGTAATCTACTTAAAGTTTACGAGTTTGAATTTTATTAAAAATATATAATTTATCATTTTATAGATGTATTATAGTTTGGTGGTGATCAATTTATGATATTTAATTTAATTAAATTAATAATATATATTACTAATGTGTTGGTGAAACCGTAATGATAAAATTGAATTAAGTATTGGCAAATTTACTACATTTATAAATAAAAAATAATATTTTGTGATAATTATATTTTCTTAATTATAACATGCACAATAGATTAAAAATTTGACAAAATATTCAACATAAAAAAATAATAATAATTTGACTAAATAGTCGATATATTTATTTTTTATAAAAATTTGTAAATTCAAATTATATATTATATATATATATAAATAGAAGTTATAATCAATCAATTAATAATCTTAACTTTAGTGTCAAGTTCGGACACGAGAGAGGAAGACAACCATTCTTTTACCATCATCCTTATTGAGATTGTTTATATAATAGCTATGAAAAAAGCTAAAGCTGATATATCAAAGGCTCTCGTATATAAGAGGACGAGGAAAGGGAGCATGAACGAAAAGCTTTAAACATTGTATTATTTGTATTACCAACAATATAATAGTTGTGGTAAAAATTTTTATAATCTACTTACAATTAATGAGTTTGAATTTTACTGAAAATATAAAATTTATCATTTTTTAAATGTATTATAGATTGGTGGTGACTGACCTATAATATTTAATTTAATAAAATCAATAACTTAAAATTATTAATGTGTTGGTTGGACTACAATGACTGAATTGAGTTAAGTATTTACGAATCTATTATATTTATGAATAAAAATATTCCGTGATGATTATATTTTTTTAATTGAAATATAAACAATATATTAAAAATTTGACCTTATATTCAATATAAAAAAATAACAATTATTTAACTGAATAGTTAATATGTTTATTCTTCTATAAAAATTTATAAATTCGAATTGTACTATCTATTTATATATAAAAAATAATAATAATCATTTGACTAAATAGATGATATATTTATTTTTTTATAAAAATTTGTAAATTCGAAATATATATTATATATATATATATATATAAATAGAAGTATAATCAATCAATTAATAATGTTAACTTTAGTGTCAAGTTTGGATGCTAGAGAGAAAGATAACCATTTTTTTGCCATCATCTTTATTGAGATTGTTTATATAATAGTCATGAAAAAAAATAACGCTAATAGATCAAAGGCTCTCATATATAAGAGGACGAGGAAAGAGAACATAAACGAAAGGCTTTAGACATTGTATTATTTGTATTACCAACAAAATAATAGTTGTGGTAAAAAATTTTATAACCTACTTATAATTAATGAGTTTGAATTTAACTAAAAATATAAAATTTATTATTTTCTAAATGTATTATGGATCGGTAGTGACTGATCTATAATATTTAATTTAATAAAATCGATAACTTAAAATTACTAATGTATTGGTTGGACTGCAGTGACTGAATTAAATTAAGTATTTACGAATCTATTATGTTTATGGATAAAAATATTTCGTGATGATTATATTTTCTTAATTGAAATACAAACAATAGATTAAAAACTCGACCTTATATTCAATATAAAAAAAAATAACAATCATTTAACTGAATAGTTAATATGTTTATTTTTTTATAAAAAATTATAAATTCGAATTGTACTATATATTTTTATATATTAAAATAGAAGTTAAAATCAAACAATTAATAATTTTAAACTTGTTATTTTATAAATTATATTCTAATATATAAAGTTAGTTAATTGACATTTATCAGTTTAAACTAAATATTTATTATTTTATTTATACATAACATTAATAATTTTTTTTTAAAATAAACATATTACTATATATATTTGTAATATAGACGTAGTTTTTACTAATCATATATTTCACATAAAAAAAAAAAGAGATATTGAAGACAATTTTTGTCGGACCAAATTATGGACTTTTTATAAAGAGCAATAATCACATTTTTTTTTTACCATAAGATTTGATTATTACGCCCGTCGGAACTATTATTTTAATTTTGTTTGGTATCCAATAAAAGTATAAGTGACCGCATAGATACATTATCTTGGTCCGGATCACACTATAACACAGCACTGTTTGGCGCCTTCCTCACTCGAGGGCTCCTCTGCTTCTCAACTCTTTCAATGGCGACTTCCCTCCTTTTCCCTTCTCCCACTTCCTCTTTCGACTATTACCGGTGCTCTCTTTCTCTCTCTCTACATATATATGTATGTGTGTGTGTGTGTGTGTTTGAAATTTCTATGTAGACCTCCTTATTTTACTGGATTGGGTTCTTGCGATTCCTAGTCGGTGATTCCGCGCTAATTCTAATTTTCTTATGCATTGTCTTCTAATTAGCTTCTGTCGCATATAACTGAGACTCTGTTAATCTATTTAGTTAATATTCAGTTTTGTTTCGGCGTAGAAATGTAGGATTTTAGCCAAAAGGGTTTCCAGCTTAATTGTTCGTGTGTATAATCATGAACGAACATGGTGATTGTTGTGATACACAACTCTGATGTGTGTTTCTCATATATATACATTTTTTCCCGAACAAATTTCAGGGTGAACCAAGTGTTTATAAATTTGCATATAGGCCACTGCCAAAGAGGCATAATGTGCTCTTCAGTTTATCTTCAAAGCCAGAAGGGTATCTGCAAGCTTTACATGATACCGGTTCGACATTTTCGGTGGGAGCCTTTTGTTACACTTAGTTCAGTAGAAACAGGCAGAAACCCACGAAAGTATCGTGCTTCTAGTGTTCCGACGCTGCAAGATTCTGAAAGGTAGGAATTCAGTTCCCATCACCTTTATTTATTGGTAAATTTTTACATATTTGGAATGTTTAATGAATTGAAAGGAATTGAAAATGTGTGTCGTCTTGGTGTCTCTTTTTCGTTAGAGAGATTTTGAAGCAGCTAATTTTTATAGGGCATTTTTATCATCGAAAACATTGAGTTGATGTGACTTCTCTTTGTATATTGTGCTTGAAGAATCATAAGGAATTGAAATTGTTTATTGTTTATCCTAAGAAATACTGTTGCCTGGCTACGTTAGCAGGTCTGAAACATTGCTGGGCAGCTCAAGTAGCACATTCGATGGCATGTCTGATTTTGAGATTCAGTTGCAAGAATTGTTCAATGAAGTCAAAATGATGATCAAGACTGGAAATGAAAATGATGCAGTAGATCTACTCCAAGCTAATTACGAGGCTGTGAAAGAACAGATTGAGGCGGGTGCAAGGGGGATTGAAGTAGTTGCCCTTCTTGACATTATTGCCTTGGGTTACATGGCTCTTGGAGACTTGAATATTGTAGACTCTGTGCTAGATACAGTAATTCTCGTTTTCCCTTATGGTGATAATATTTTGGGGAAATATATCATTTATTTTTCAACTGAGAAAGTATCAATACATGCTTCGCAGGGCTTTTTTCTTTATACATTGTGATTTTTTCACGCACTTGTTTTGCTTGTTTGTTTAGAGCATTCTACATATATTGCTTATTATTGTACCTTACTTCAGTATGGGAGTTCTTATTGCTGAAAGGTATATTTATGTTGATTATTTGGTGGACAGATGGATGGTCTGCTTGACCATATAAAGGATGGTGAACCACTTTTAGATTCAATTCTCATTCATGTAGCAAGCATGTATTCCACTTTGGGAAATTTTAAGAAATCCATTCTCTTGTATCAGAGAGTTACGGAGATTTGGGAGTGCAAATATGGTAAGTGTAATCTTGGTACCTAAATGTTTGTGGGTGAATACTTGCTGACTTGTATAAGTTTTATGGAGTATAAACGCATTAGCCTTAGAGGCTGATGATCATAAGCTTGTATCAGATGAATATTTCGTTTCCTGGAGGATCACTTTTGGCATTAAATGGTTTTGGTCATTAGCATAGTGTGGGGTTTTTTTTTTCCCGGCTCATTGTCATACATAAAAAATTCCTTGGATTTTCATTCACCGTGGCTCTTGCTACAAGAAAATTCCCTTTATTCTTTAGCAATTCACTTAGAGCATCAAATTTGGAAGCTAATGGCTGTCTTAAAATAATGTCTTCTTTTAGGGAAAAATAGTGCCTTCCTTCTCACATCTTTATTGGGAATGGCAAAAGCTCTGGGTTCTGCTGGAAGAGTTACAAAGGCAGTGGAAACCTACAATCGTTCAATAATCATATTGGAAACAAGCAGGGGTGCTGAAAGTGAGGATTTAGTTGTGCCTCTATTTGGGCTTGGCAATCTTTTGATAAAGGAAGGAAGAGCTGCAGAGGCAGAAAGTATTTTCGTTAGGTTGCTTTTCCTTGTTTCTATTTTGTTTGGATTCTGCAGATTAACGGTTTGGTTGCTAACTTGTTTATTCCATTTGCTTCCATCCTAGGGTTTTAAAGATATATTCTAAATTATATGGAGATACAGATGGAAGGGTTGGAATGGTTATGTGTTCCCTAGCTCGTGCCAAGTGTGCCAAAGGTAACTTTTTCTCTGCTCTCTTTGTATCCTTCTTCCGCTCTTTCCACTTCCTGCCAAAAATAAGAAACTGTTGGGCTTTTATTTACTGATGGCTTCTATGTTGTATAGATAACAATTCTAGATCTGATGTGATCTTGATTCATGTGTTTGGCTGTGGCTTCATTTCCTGGCTTTTTGGCAGGTAATGCAGTCGAGGCCATTGACTTATACAAAAGAGCTCTTCAGGTCATCAAGGATGCAAATTACATGGCTTTAGATGACAGTATAATGGAGAATATGAGAATAGAGTTGGCAGAGTTACTGCATGTTGTGGGGAGGTAAAATTGGATAGGACTTGGATATTTGAATTAGTAAGGCATTCAAAGTATATTTTTGGGTATGAATAACTTTTTTCCTCACAGTCTTCCAGTTCTGATGGTACAATAAGATGGCAGCTTAGTTCTTAATCTCTGCATATCATAATCTGTTTGTCAGAATTTTGAGAGCTGAGAAACATAATTTTAGTAATTTTATTTTATGCTGTTGATCTGATAAAACTTTTGTCTTATTTTCTGTTGTTACTTTGCAATTTTGTTAGAGGTAAAGAAGGTCGAGAGTTGTTGGAGGAATGCTTGTTTATCACCGAGAAGTACAAAGGAAAAGAACATCCCAGCTCAGTGACACATCTCCTAAATCTTTCAGCCTCTTGTTCTCGGGCAAAGAATTTTGTTGAAGCTGAGCGCTTGCTGAGGACAGCTTTGGAGATCATGATGAAAGCAGTGGGTCCTGAAGATCAATCCATCACCTTCCCTATGTTGGATCTTGCAGTTACTCTCTATCAGTTAAACCGGGATGAAGAAGCCGAGGAACTTGCTCTGAAGGCTTTGCACATCCGCGAGAAGGCATTTGGAAAAGACTCCCTTCCTGTTGGTAAGCTTTTCTTTTTCCCTTTAATACTTTGCAGTGGCACTTTACCCTTCCATCTCATTCTAACAAATGCTACCTTGATTAATCATGATTTTTCTTGATCTCTGGTTTACAATTTTTGCACTTAAAAGAACCTATTAGCATTTCAAATATAACTTAGAAGGCCATTCTCTGGAAATACTTGATGTCCATCTTATATTTTTATGTATTGCAGGGGAGGCGCTCGATTGTCTGGCATCCATCCAGGTTAGGTTAGGGAGAGACAATACTGATTTACTAGATCTGCTCAATAGGATTCTAAGAATTCAAGAGAGAGAATTAGGGTTTGAGAGTGAGGAGATCATCGTTACGCTGCAAAAAATTCTCGTCTACTTGGATAAACTAGGGAGAAAGAACGAGACATTTGCCTTGCAGAGAAGACTCTCCCTACTTACAAGGAAATACCAGCAAGCGATTCGGTATTAATGGCATATAGCCTCAAAATTGCCCAGACAGGTCTTCTTCTTCTTGGAAGGAAGTACCATATATATTCAACCATTTTGTGTGCATAGTTAGGATCTGGTTTGCTTAATTAGTGCTTGTCTCTGAGTTATTAGAAGTGTTAATACAGCTTAATTACTGTTGAAAATACTCTTAATACAAAATGTTATATCATGTTTAAATTTTGATTAATTATCTTATGAACATAATAAACTTTGAAAGGATAAAAATTAATTATTAAAATTATTTAAATAATATACCTTCTTATAAGCATCTGGACTAGGCCCAGCTCGTCCTTGATATGTTTACGGTCCGAGTCTAGACTCAAATCTGAAAATAATTTAAAAATAAATTTAAATGAAAAAATTTATTAATTAAACAATAAATGAATAATAAAATTATTAAGCGAATAATAAAATCTAAAAATTAATTAATAAAAAAAAAATTATATATATATATGTATATGTATATGATCAAGTTGAAATAGTCAGTAGGGCTTGGCACGAGCCCTTCCATTTTAAGACACTATAGATAGTCTAGAAGGTCGCTAATTGAATTCGCGCCAAGGGTCAATGGTCAAATTGTAATTTTACGTAATCTTATGGCTTTTTCATGAATGTTCTGAAGGTGGCGGTAGCTTAATCGATTATCTCGAGTCCTACAGCAGGGAAAGCACCTCAATGGCTATGGCTATCTCGACTCTGGCTTCAGTTTCTTCGTCGTTTTCTCTTGTAAGTCGCTTTTGCTCCTGGTGTTTGGCTCCTCGGAAAACACATCCGAACAATTTCTTTTGTGTTGCTTTGGTGTGTTCTTTAACCATACCTAATTCTAATTTAGTTGGATTCATGGCTGCAGAAGGTAGAGCTAAGAGAGAGGAATTCACAGTGTCGGAGCTTCTATTTGGAATCAAAGGTTTTTGTTTCTTCTTTCTGTTCCTTGTTCTTCGGACCTGATTAATTAATGTCGGTAATGGAATTACTTCCAAACAGATTCAGAGCGACGGTCATGGACGGCGAGTATGGCGACGGAGAAAATTGGTGAGGAAAATGGAAAATTCTGGTTGTTTATTTATTTACTGTTTGACGTTTATCCATGGGATATTTTATATGGTTTAGGATTGTAAAAATTGGTCCGCGTGGTTCCTGAGAAAATTTGAGGAAAAACGAGAAGGGAAGGTTCCTTCTATACTTGGGCTGTTTAGAAGACACACGTCGTATCTTTAATTGCGAAGTTGAAAAAGTTCGGTTATGATTATTGAATTATTCATTTATAGATATTCCGACTTGGGAGGAAGTAGAATATTCTCGAGTTTTCACTGCCACCAATTTGGGGTTTAGGCATTTCAAGGTTAAAGTTCTTGTGGATTTATAAGTAAGGTGTTTTTTGTTCCTAGCATCATAAGGTGACATAAGATGGTCAATTAATTATCTGGTCAGGTTAATTCATTATCTGCCAACCACTACTTAGTTGCTTAGTTGAATGGTTAATATGTTTTTTTTTCTCTACAAGAGATTGTAGGTTCAAGTCTGACTGTGCTTTCATGTATATCCTTGTATGGAGGTTATTTTTATTGTATTATGATTAGTTTATATGTATCATTTAATTAATGAATGTATTGATTTACTTAAAAGAAAGTTAATTGATTATTTGATCATAAATTAGGTGCCCTTAGTAAAGTCTAAGGAAGTGAATGGATAGACTTTGGTCTTAGTCATCTTGTTTATTTTTTTTTAAAAAAGGGGTCTTGCTCATCTTCTATGCCGTGCGCAATGTTTTTGTTCTGGTTAGCATTCTGTTGCTTGCATTTGAAAGTTTGATAAGCTTATCCTTCACATGATCATTAAAGAATTTGGATCCATTATTCTTCCTAAGTCTGGCTAAATAGGGTAACTTCAGGTTAATGGAGTTATCAGTAGCAAGCTGATGCACTGATTTAGAGCTGCAAAATGTTATATGGCTTTACTGTTGGTTACAATTAAAGTAGATAATTGCTTAGTTCCATCCTGTAGAGTGATTAAATTAGATAACAGCTTCCGGAAAATTTGTATCAACCTGATTAATAATTTTCTGATTGGTACTTAACCCCCGTGTTTCTCATATTTTTAAGGCTTGAAACAATGAGTGAGGAAGATAAATCAGGCTCAACAGGGATCGTTTTGTTATGTGATAAACTGGCAATTTAGAGGGCATGCATGATATAAGGGAAGACATCATTGAGAAAGCTTAATTATTTGATTCATGGTGTTGAATTATTCATTGCAGATATTCTGATCTGAGAGGAAGTAAAATATCTTGTTCATATTTGACCAGTTACTGTCACCATTTGAAGCGTGGATATTTCAAGGACTAATGCAATTTTGAGTTTCTAATACTTTTTCTTGGGGGAAACTATTTGGAAATATGAATCATGGGTGCTTATCATCAGCACTGAAGAAAGATAAATTCCAGAAATTAGTAGCGTACACGTTAGGTAAAAGGTGCTGTAAGTGAGCGGTGACAACTAGTTAGCCGTTACTGATGGATGAAAGTTGATATCGGATCAATCACTTATATCGTTCCTATGCTGGATGCTTGCTTTTTGTTCTAATTAGTTATGTTGCATGACTTCTAAAGCTTGAGAAGCCTATCCTTCATATGATCATTAAGACTTCGGATAAGGTTTTCCTTCTCATTCTTGACTTTCATCTAATGAACTTCTCAAACAAAGTTTAGACATTATCCGATCTGTCCAAATGTGGTAACTTCAGCTCAAATGGAAATAAGCTAGCTGATTTTTGTTATTTTTCTCAATTTCTTTTCACGGACCTTTGAGGTGCAAATGCAATGATTGAAAATAGACAATTACTGATTTTTGTTTCTATACTCAAAATTTTTTCTTTTTCCTCACATGCAAAGAAATCGACACAGTACTATTGGCTATGATTGGAGTATATGATTTCATCCTGTGAACGGTGGAGTGCCATTTCAGAAAGCTGTATCTCTCTAATAGCAACTAAATGAGCTGCATGGTTCATGTATTTTCATTTGCAAACGTTTCTTTGTTTGGACATGTTACTATCATATTCTTATTTGCAATTTTTCTTTATTCCAGACAAAGAAGGATGACATGTTGCGTTACAAGATGGAGCGGATTCCCTTCTTGGAGGAGCAGGTGAGGAAGATAAGAGAAGGGGGAAAGCTATTGACAATGGACATAGAGAGACTCTTGCTATCAGAGGATAACCGATTCGATTTTGTGAATGAGGTGGCAGCTGAGGCTAAAGAGTACGTTGAGAGAAACCGGGACGACTACGGAGGATCAAAGAAAGCCATCCTTCATGTGCTCAGTAACCGAGTAAATGATGCAGGGTTCTACCGACCAGATGGATACGTGGAATCCGACCCTTTCAAGCCAGGGCCTGGTTATTTAAAAGAAGAATTTACATAAGCTTAGACAGATAACCTGCATACCAGCCAACCAAGAGTAGATGTATTACCTTAAGGTCTGGCCGAACTTAATTCTGTAACTTCAATTCAAGATCATTAACCTTCCAGTTATCTGATAGTTTGATTGTCTGATACTTGATTATACACATGTGGGTCTGTAGAATCTGGTCATGAGAATCTGTCAGTTCAGGAAATGACCAATTTTGATATATATATACATATATATATATGCTCTGTCACATAACCAAGGATTAAGGGCTAGTTTGGGAGAGAAAAAAAGAAGGGCAAAAGAAGTAGAGAATGAGAATTACTCAGCTTTTGCTAGTAAATAACTTAATTGAAAACTAATCATATATATATATATATTTTGATTTATATGTTCTATATTTATATATTTTATGTATAAAGAAAATGTGTTGAAATGAAATGACATTTAAAAAAATTAAAACACAAACTGTATTTTTTTTGTAAATATTTGGTGATTCTGTAAATTTAAAAATAAAAATTATAAAATTTTTTTTTATGTACTAAAGTAAAATTTTTTGTCTATTTAAAAGAAAAACAGAAGCTAATGAAAAGTAATATTAAGATTTATTGACTAATATATGTGCAAGTCGAAGAAATGACGTTATCTTGCCAGGTCAGCAGCGGGGCCCAGATAGTCCTTGTCTTATCCGACGTGGCAAATCCTGGGCTACACGTGGGAACTGTGAAGTACTAATATAATATAATCCGTTAAAAATCAGTTATTAGAGGTCAGGCTTTTTCCTCTTATCTTCACCAGAATCAGAACCACCACAACAGAGTTCCCGGAGATTCCTGTGTATTTTTGAAGTAAGTAATTACTTCTTCTCCAACTCGCTCCATCAAACTCACTGAGTTGATGGCGTTACTCAGCCCCCGGTTACAGATATTCCTCTTAACTAAGCTCCATCTCCACTCCAACTCTACTCCTTCCAAAGCCACCAACAAAGCCAGCAGTAATCTCCTTTTTTCCATCCCGCGCAAGAGCCATTGCTGCTGCTCAGCAATCGCAATCGACGCGCCATCTGCCCTGACCGACGTAGCTGGCATCCGATGGGGCTCCACCAGTTCTCAGGGCCCGCGCGACGAGATGGAGGACGATCTCGTCATCCGATCAGACGGCCTCGAGGGATTCTCATTCGCTGCAATTTTCGACGGTCACGCTGGCTTCTCCTCCGTCAAATTCCTCAGGTATATATGCACATATCTAAACACACTGATAAACAGGCTTCTATTGTGCGAAATGAAATTCCGTTCGTATTTATACGCGTATAAATGTGAGTGTATACGAGCATGTTCATGAGATTGAACGAATGATGGAAATTGACAGGGATGAGTTGTACAAGGAGTGTGTGGCTGCGTTACAAGGCGGATTGCTATTGAATGGAGGTGATTTTAATGCAGTAAGGAATGCATTAGTCGAGGCTTTTGAAAATGCTGATAAAAAATTGTTGAATTGGTAAGTTCTTCGACTTTACTTAAACATATGTCCTTATTGAATCACTTAGAAAATCTTTTATCTCCATGGCTCATGTAATCATTTATTAGTTAGTGTTTAATGGCGTGTTTCTCATATTGGTGAAGGCTTGAAATGATGGGTGAGGAAGACGCATCAGGGTCTACAGCTACTGTTATTTTTATTGGAAATGAAAAGCTCTTAATTTCACATATTGGTGACTCATGTGTGGTGGGCAATTTCTGCTTTCTCAAAAAACCTTTTTCTTTAGCCCTGGATTTCTGTTGATTAAGTAGAATTTTATAAGCTTAGAATTTTAATTTATCAACAAGAATAGGAGGAGCTGTTGTTAAAATTCATCAATATAGTAGTAATTATGCAAATCGAATGGAGCAGGTTTTGTGTCGGTCTGGGAAAGTAGAGGAGTTAACATCTTCTCATAGGCCATATGGTAGTAGCAAGGTCTCTCTTGGAGAAATCAGAAGAATCAGAGATGCAGGTGGATGGGTGTGTTTTTCTGTTCTTGGTCTTGCTTTAACTTGTCTCATCCTTTGTAACGCCGTTCTGTTTTTCCAATAACTACCTACAAAAAGAGGATATAAGTTTGCTGACTGCTGGTTGTATTTCCTCATCTTGCAAGGATATTAAACTGATAATGTGATTAAGTTCCTTTTCTGCCATATGATTTAGTTTTAGAAACTGAGTTATGGAATAAAGTGAAACCAGTTTGGCCAGCATGTTTTATCATATTATTAATTTCTCAAGTTAGTTGGGTTTTCCTCTATGTTCCCTTTTGTTTGCAGTACTTGGTTTTAATTGTAGAATTGGTATCTTATCTATTCTCTTTCTCGTATTCTTGTAACGAATGCTCCTAGATTGTCAACGGAAGGATTTGCGGAGACATAGCTGTATCCCGTGCCTTTGGTGACATGCGGTTCAAGACAAAGAAGAATGAGTTCAGTTTTTCACTTTTGACTCCTTATTAGAGTGGTGGTTGATGGCTTGTCAGAACTTGTACGTAATTTTGTTCATTGCTCACGCTGGAATTTTTCTAATTCATTAATAGGATGTTAAAGAAGGGAGTTGAAGAAGGGAGATGGTCCGAGAAATTTGTTTCACGGTGAGCAAACTTCTTATATACTTCTTACTCACTCGATGTCCCCTTTAATAATATATGTTGTTTAGAAGGCTACATTTATGATTTTAAGTTACCAGCTGACCTATTCCAACATGAAATATGTGGCATCTAGAGGTACATATGGTTAAATGAAAATATGCAATATATCTTCAACTGTTCACTCAGTCACATATATACATCACTCTTTTTACTTTTACTTTGGAGTCTTCAGCTGAATGGTTCAGAGCTCTGTTTCCAATTGCTGGATAAAATTCATTTCTGCCATGAGCCATATATATTTAACCTAACCATACATGCGTTTTTCTGGAACATACTTTAGAGTTACAAATGAATGGAAAGAGCAAAGATTCATCTACAATTTTTAGTTCTTAGTTCTGATTTACCTGGAACATATAAATGGCTGTAAACAATAATCTTGCCCTATGTGGAAATTAACCTTCTGACTCCTGTAACAGATGATGCAAAATAATTTTGATTAAGTAGGATAAGTTAAAATTCTCTTTCATAGAGCTATAAAATTCACTTGCACTAGTTTAGAGTTTATAAACTTGTTTTGACAGCAGGCATATTGTGGTGTGGCAGTGTACAATTCAATGGGGACTTGGTTATTGCATCTCCAGATATCTTTCAAGTAGCTCTTGGATCGGGTGCCGAATTTGTACTCTTAGCATCTGATGGATTATGGGACTACATATCCAGGTTCCCAGACCTATACTCAGCTCTTGGCATCAGACAATCTGCTTTATGTTTTTCCTGTTAGCATAGGAGACAACTTCTTATACTAACCTTGTCATTGCCTAAGAAATAATTCTCACTCTGATCTTCCTATTTCAGCTCAGATGCAGTTACTTTTGTTAGGAATCAACTTCGGGAACATGGAGATGTCCAGGTAAGTATTATCTTATACTAAATAGGTAGCCATTTTGAGTTTATCTACATGCTTTTACATATATGATATTTCCACTTGTTCTGATTTCAGCTTGCTTGTGAAGCACTGGCAAGAGCAGCGCTGGTAATGAGATATTAAGTTATAAATTATTTATTTTCACTGTTTGATAACCATGGTTATATGTAACCCAAAAATGGTTTTGTTCTTCTTACAGGACCGCCGTTCACAAGATAATATCAGCATTATCATTGCGGACTTAGGGTATGTTTTAGTTCACTTATGATTCGGGCATCAGATTCCTGAATTTAGATATGAATCTGAATTATTTCAGCACGTTGCATAGAATGAAAGAGTCAAAACGATGGTGGTGTTAGTTTCTGAAAATCTGAAAGTTTTTGTCACGATTTTCTTCCACCTGGAAGATCAATTGCATCAACTAGCTGATCCTTCCACAGGCCAGTATCACAATTTTTTTCTTAACATCCCAAGCAAGCACATCTTTCATGCTAAGAAATCTTGAAAATTCCATAAAAGCTGAAATGGGGAAGGAAGAGGCAATTTGGGGTAGACGGAGGGGACCACAAATGTGACATGCAAGCTACTAGATTCCTCCCCCCTGCCACCCATTTCCAATCCAAGCCTTCTAATTTGTGAACACATTGATGCATTAGCGACAGGATAGATAATTTTTCCACTCGATTCCTCTAAAAAGGTAATAAAGTATGCTCATAATTCATCATGGCTCATTTGTAGGAAATGTCAACCCTGCTGTAAAACATATCTTGGCTGTTTTTATTTTCCCAAAAGATCAAAAACATAATTCATCCCAGTATAAATCAAAGACCAAATGAATCTATAATGCTTTTTTTTTTTTTCCTTTGGGTTGAAAATTTATTCTATATAAATCGATCTACTTTCTTGAATATTGACTTGGGAAAAGTTGTCAAGTTGTCCCTTGATACTTTAATTTGGTTTTCAAGCTTTTTCATTTTCTTGGTTTTGACTTGTGAATGCAGGCGGACAGACTGGCAAAATTTGCCGCTCCAGCGACAAAATTTTGTGTTTGAGCTAGCCCAAGCATTAGCTACCGTTGGCATTGTGTCGCTTGGAATTTGGGCGACATCTATGCTCTCTTTCTGAATTTCATTCAGGGCTATTGGCAGTGTATATATATATATATATATATCTCAATATAGATTCCCAGAAAATTTTTGGCTGTGCAACGAAATAGTTACATACTGCATATATATGTAAATCTCAGTGCCGCTAATATAGAAAGTTTCAGATGATCTCAAAAGAATTTTGAGTAACTAGCATTATAAGCAGTTACTTTCATCATTCTTTTGCAATTTCTTGTGGCTGATATTAAAAGTTAGTATCTCCTATCTTGGTTTGTTTATCTACAAACTTAGCTAAGAAATTATGTGGGATGAATGGTTTAATTTCACTTACATTTCCCCAATGTCAGGTACATACATATATATATATATATATATATATGACATGGGTATAGTTTTATGAGAGTGATAAAAAGGGGGGAAAGGACAAACAGTCCTTAAGATCATGATGTGAAATGTGGGTGGATCCGGTTTAAGAAAGCACTTATAGTTTTGCCAAAAGGTGCTTTTTTTTCAGTGGCTGGGTCCCTCTACCTCCATTATTATGAAGCTAAGTAACAAATTGTACAAAGAATTTTCCTCTTAGAAACACCAATCGAGAAAATTTGATAATTGACTTGAAGCTCGGAGAAAAAGAATCCAATTTCTCAGAAACCAAATTGTTAGTCAAGACAGGTGATGATTTGAACCTAAGAAACTTTTAAAGGTCAGAGAAGATACATACACCTCACAAATATGTCATGTTATACATACATACATATATATATATATATATATCTCTTTCTGTAAATGCATGTGTCTGATAAATTGATATTCATATAATGAAAAGAAAAATAGTGAAGTGCCCTGTTGTAGCACTGATCCTTTTTGATTATTATGGAAATTAATATTTTGGTCCACAAAATCATTGGCTATTATTGATTAATATTTTCCCATGACGATCATGATCTCATCTGTCTGCTGTAGATCAGGATTGGATTATTACGTCTTGTTTGTCTGTAATATTTCTCTACAACTCTGTCCATGGAAGTTACTATTCATCACACAGACATGTATATATACATCTATAACGTATGAATTAATTATCTAATTTTATTTTATGAAGAAAAGGGTACCCAAAGATAATCTAACGCTCATTTTTAATTTAATCACCGCAGTTCTATTCATACACTATCGAACTAAGTCTTGCTCATTATTAGATTACCGTATCGTTAGGGTTTGATCGCGCGTATTTTATGTTCTCTCATTCTGAAAATGTATTGTTCTGAGAGGAGAAAAACAAAGATCTTTATTTATTATTATATAAAACAGGCAAAAGCCAGAGGAAGTACATGCCAGCATAAAGAACAACATAAGAGATACAATCTAATCTCATAGTTTCTAATTTAGGCTTTAATTAAATTAATTAATCACTACTAAACCCCACTGTTGGGGTAATTAGAACCCATTAATCATATTATTTATTATATAATAATACTAAATAAACTCATTAATGTATTCTCACGGAACATGGTGATCAACAAAAACCCTCTGGAGCTGATAGCTAGTTTCCTATATTATTATAAAGGATTAATTAATTAATTAATTAATTACTTAATATTAATTAATTCAAGGCTTGCCACCACTTCCACTGCCACCTTTCTTTCTTGGGTCGTGTCTTGGATTTGCTCCTGCATCATCATAATCAAGCATAGCATCCATCGCCAACAGCTTCCTTCCACCTCTCATTTGCATGCCAATTTCCTTCGTGCAAACAGAAATTTATATAAACACATATATATAAGAACGTACTGGAATATCATGTCACTCATACTAATCATCTTTATGTTTTTTAGTTTTATAAGATATTCTGGAAGGAACAACCATATATCTATAATTACGTAAAAATTTTATGTATACAAGTGACAGTGTGATCAATATATATATATATATATATATATATATATAAACACACATATATGTATTTGTAGCTTGTGGTAGAGAGAAGTATACCTTATGAAATGAATAAGTGGGCTCCACCTGCTTGTCATCTCTGAAGCCTTCCACCAAGTCTGAAGACAGCAAGTAATTATGAAGATGATGAAGACACAGAACCCAAAAATTACGTGCATTTACAGATATGTGTGTATATGTATATTTATGCATATTACCTGAAGATAAAGAAATGAGGAGCAAGAAGAAAAGGAGAAGCAGAGTGATCTTGTTCTTGTTGCTAATAATTAAACCCATTAATTCTCTTGATCAAAATCTCTTGAATTTCCTCTGTCAACTAGGTTTATGACAGAAAGCTTACAAGTTGTAGAGTAAATTAAAAGGAACAAAACTCAGTGAACTAATTAGGTTAATATTTATAAGTGCTGGTCTTACAGATGGCCTTGAGGGAGTTGCTTGCACAGACCCATATATATATACACACACACACACACACACAGATATTCTTGGTGTATGGGTGGTAAGGAATTGTTGAAGCTTGTGTCATGGTTTCATACCCCACCCAATAGCAAACATGTCATCATGACGAATTGCATTAACCCCTTTATCCCACACAAACAAACCCTAAAGTCAACTTCATATTCTCTTCAATTTCAATAAAACTTTCCCAAAAATTTAAGAGTTCAACTTCATATTCTCATATATATACATATAAATATACATATATACACATATTCTTTCTTTTTGTTTTACATTCTTTCTTCTCGGAAGCCATTGAAGGTTTTTTTTCTTTTCAAATTTTCATCAAAGTTTTAAATTTGTTCTTTCGTATACTTTTTTAAATGATTTCTTGAAACTAATTTATATTTTAACAGTAATTTTAATATGTAATAACTGTACGGGATCATAGAATTTGTCTAAAGTATACACTGCAGCCTGAATTACATAATAATTTTAAATAAATTTGGAAAAGAAAAGAGAAAAGACATATAGTAAATATAAATTAGTGTTGTATATCTACGTATAATTTGTTTGCATGTGGACAAATTAATGGGTACTACTTTTAAAAATCTTGCATGGCTTAAAACCCTACTTATACATATTTTTGTAAAGCTTTGCTTTTTTGATGGGTTATAACAAGTATTATTACCTTCTTTTCATAAGTCAATCTCCTTTTCTTTTCATTGCCATAATATACACACACACACATATATATATACATGCACTAACATGTGCCCCCTATATACCATATATATATATATATATATAATATGTGTACAGTAAGACACACACACACACACGTATATGTTTGTCTATATATATTTTAAGTTGAAATAGCACACTACAATTAGATTGCTCTACAGTCTATGCCCATTGCTTTGGTGCAGAAATTGCTTTGGGTATCCAACTAGTGCATAATATGTATATGTGTGTATGCACATACATGGCATATTTTTTAACTACGACGAGGGATTAGAGACGGTGTATAGATTTTGTACATGTTTAGGCAGATACTATTAAAAGGTAGAATACAAAGACCCATATATGTATCTGTATATGGAAAATAGGCAGTGACGACCGACATGGGTATATATGATATATGTATATATATATATATATATATATATATATAATGAAAATTTGAAGAATTAAAGAGGTAGTGGAAGCTTAGGTCTGAAATCAATTTCATTTTCCGTGGTACCAAAGAAGCGCACTTTAGTGAATAGTGGGTTTTGGATCCTCTCATTTCGGCTTTCAATCACTTTGTATGTGAAATAGATTGAGACACACACATGGTGAGTAGTGGCCTACAAATTATGGAATCAATTTAGAGGGTTGATTTCTCTTTAATTCTTAATATTATACTAATTAGGTTAAATTATTATTATAATTATTATTCATATATAATTCCCAAATTTTACTATTTCATCTTCGATTTGGTTTCGAGTTAAAATTTGATTAAATCTAAACGAATCATAATTTTACGAATTTTAATTAAACCCGTATCATTATATTGTGTTCCAAAGCTATTAAACAAATATTAAAGAGAGAAATTTAATTGGGTTTAATGTAACTTCAACTCTTGAGCATTCAAAAGAAAGTTTTAAAAGCTAATTAAGGGAGGAAATTTGAGGATTAATTAATTAATGAAGATTTAATTAAGGGTATTAATTAATTAGTGGGGAGCACGAGGTTAGCCAGCAAAAAAGGCAATTAATTAAGGCTTTTGAATTACACTAAAATTATATAATAATTAATTAAAAAAGAGAAAGACAAGGAATTAAAGTTGGGTTAAATCATGATTAGGGAGACCATTTGATGGGAATGATGGTGTTTATTGAGTGGTGATTTGCTAATAAACTTACTTAATATCTTCATTGCTGCCAACCGGTCTAGGTTGTCGGGCATATGTCTACATTACCCTCTTTTCTTTTTTTAATATATATATATATATATACATACATGTATCTATATATATATATATATATATATAAGGATGGATCATATTTTTATTTCATTTGTACCTATTTTAAATAAAAAAACTTATTCATTATAAATTTTTTATTTAAAAATGTTAAAATTTAATTTAATTTAATTATTTCAATTTAATATTTTATATTCTTGATCAAATTTAAAACGTGTGGAATTTATTTTATATATATATTTTTTTAGTTAAAAAACGTAATTAATTCACTAAAAAATATTTAAATTTAGTCATTATAGTTTAGTACTTTATATTATAACTCAAATTTAATTTTATTATTTTTAAATACTAGACTATGGTAATGTCACTCTCTCTTTCTTTCTTTAGTTTCCTTTTATATTAACATGCTAACCACACAATTAACATTTATATAATTTGGAATTAACTAATTTTTTTTTTTGGAATTTGTAATTAATTAAAATGGATTTTTCAAAATAATTTCAAGTGAATCAAAGAAAATTAAGTATTTAAAAGTTCATTTTAATAGATTTTAGTAATCATATATGTGTGTGTGTGTGTGTTTGTCTACCACTAAAATACAAATAGTATATTAAAGTGTAGATTTAGATTAGTTGTTGAAGTTTAAATTTTAAGTTGTTAACTTTTTTGTTATGTGTTTAATTACATTTTCAGTCAAATTTTGCATATGAAAGAACATATTACACTATAAGTAAATAATATGAACTAATTTATTTTTTTCAGTTTAATTGAAAAGAAATTATTACAATTTTAAATAAATTCATTTATAAATTCCTAGATAATTACAGATGAAGATATAATTTAATTTGAATAATAATCAAACTAATATTTCTTTTATATATGTAACGATCTCGGAATGTCCAAAAAAATAAAGTATAAGTTAAGTGGGGAAACAAAATAAATAGTTAACATTTACATTCTTTACACATAAACTTAAAGTCTCATCTCCCTTTCTTGCAAATGTGACTCCAGCACCCCAAAGAGACACACTATATCGGATGAATCTACTGTTCTGCAATAAGAAAAATTGTCATGAGTAAACAAATGTTAAATGATTTTATTAATTTATAAATGACTCATCGTTAGGAGGGTTGAATACAACCTTATTGCTAAAACAATCTACGGTGGCGTGATACCCCGCTAGTAAGTTCATTCTTAAAATTGCATCAAAGTCCTTGTGTCAATTTCTATTAGGTCCACATTCATTTTTTTATATGCTATATCTATGACACATGCCTTGTATACAACCTCCCCAAGTAGTGTCTTACTCCCAAGAGTAGACACAAACAACACAGAATCAAGTTTTTCAGGTAATACATCTAATTTTGATGCAAAAACATAGAAAACAAATGAATGCGATGCACCAGTATCAATCAAGACATGAGCAAGATGGTTACAGATAGTGTACATATCTTGTACCACGTCCGGGTTGGCTTATGCATCCTACTGAGTGAGATTGTAAGTCTTGCCCTGGATAGAGGTCTGACATGATTCTGGGTT